AAAATTAAAAAAATGGAAACATTCTTTTACTAAGGCACATTGGAAGTTAAGAAACAAGTAAGTATCAACCCATGAAATCATATATTTTTGAAGATTTTATTTATTTATTTGAGAGAGAGAGAGAGAGAGAGAGCAAGTGGAGGGGAGGGACAGAGGGAGATGGACAAGCAGATTCCCCGCTGAGCACAGAGCCGGATGCGGGGCTCGATCCCAGGACCCCGAGATCATGACCTGAACCGAAACCAAGAGTCAGACGCTTAGCCAACTGAGCCACCCAGATGCCCCCATAATTTTTTTTAATATGTCTTTAATTTATTACATTAAACTTAGTTAACCTATAAGTGTTTCTCTCACAAGTTATAAGTAAGCTACAAACCTTCAGTAATAAGGTGTGTGTCCTACACATCTGAGTATGTCTTACATGATTAAGACACTGGAAGGGACTATAAAGCACAAAATTGTAGCAGCAAAGCTTCTTAAAAATAAGTAAACACACACACATGTATATCTAGACTTGGAAAGTAAAGCCAAAGCCAAAAGTTCTATAAAGCCAAAAGCTATCAAGAGATACTATATTATTTTCAACATGCAATATATAACTTAAAATGCATCCCTTTTCACGATAAAATGTTAAAACAGTAATCTGTAAAATAGGGTGATAAATACAATGCCCCCTAAAAGTGCTCCCTGTTGGAAAATGACATCATCTTTTAATTGTACATCCAAAGTGATTGAAAACATGTCCAGACTGAGTGTGCACTTGCTGACTTTCTCTCTCCCCACACATGTATGTGTGTGTGTGTGTGTGGGGGGGTGTGTGTGTCTTCTGTCCATATTCTGTCTCCTTGTAATAGAGAAAAATTCAGTAGCTGAGTTGCCAGCAGATTGATATGGAATAAATTGTCAGGTCTCATGAGTTTCTTCAATTACATACTGTTTATACGTTTATTTAAGAGGTCTTATCATGGTGTTTAAGTCTCAAAGATGGGCAATACTAAACCTCTCCAATGGGAAACCTTCAAACATATGAATAAAAACTTGAACTTTCATCAGAGTATTGTCAATGTGCCTATTAAATAATTATCCAAAGAAATAAATGTTATTCATTTGCAACCATGGAGGTATAATTATTGTATTATTATAAAGCGAATGGCAGAACAGGAGGAAAATTCGTGTTTGCTCTACATCAGCTTTGAAAATTCTGCATCTTTCCTAAGTTGCTTTGCAAATTTCAAGTAAATATTGCCCTGTCTTAATAAGTCTCGATTATACTTTATTTTTAAAATAATAGCAGACACATATTTCAAGGAAGGAATCCAAATGCAGCAAGCTAATATATTTGCTTAATGTGGTTTAATTATTATATATGCTACATACTGACATTTATGCCGCTACTCCTTTTTCACAGAAAAGACATTTATTTGCCCTGCAAAGCAAGGCATGGAACTTTAAGCCGTCAGCTGACTGTACTAAGTGAAACCATCAATTATCTGGATTTTTTTTTTTTTTTTTGCTGCATTAAGGTTTTATAAAGAGGCAAATTATAAAGGGCATTATTGTGGATTTATTCCAAAAAATAACTTCAGGGCTGTTTCCTGGGCCGGCATGAAATCAGTGTCATCTCTTCTATTTTCTGGGTATTTAGGCTGTACAATGAGAATTGTTCTGAGCGATAGCCCTGAGACCTTGCAGGGGTCTCACTTATCTAAGAAAGGTTCGATTATGTTCCCATATTGTACTTACCAAGGAAGAAAAAGCAAGAGAATATACTTCACAGAAACTCCTCAGGAGAACTTATAATAGCCTCCAGTTACCTGGATTTGCACATCGAGATAATTCAGATAGCCCATTTCTCAAAAGCCTGTGCAACAAGAATTTATGGTGTGGGAACATTTCATATTTAGGAGCATTTATATATACTCCCAGTGATCCCTGAGTTTATTACATAATCAGAGTAAGTTTTTAATTGCAATTCTGAGGTAAGATAATTACATATATGGTATCTGAATCACCCACAGTGCTGAGCAAAATGAAAGAATCATACGGTATATACAGCCCCAGAAGGCTGTGTTTAGCACTTCAGATTCCAGGCTGTTTTGCAACAGAGATTTAAGGCCTGCGTGGTGGCTGGACTAGAGGACACTAAACTCCCTGCTAATCCTGAATCCTATGGGATATTCTACGGAATGATGACACTTAATTGGCCAGACCTTGAGGCTTCTTGCTTTCCACTGTGTGTTCCCAGAAAACGGTAAAATAGTAAAAGGCACATAAATGCAAAATGCCAACAAAAGAATCACAGCAAGCTAATAAAACAGACTGCAAAGCTTAATTATGTTCAGTATCAAAACAATGGTAATATGAAAAAAAAAGATGTTAGCTTCTTTTGATGTGAACCCCGGATTCTCGCTCTGCCAAAAAAAGGGGGGGAACCTTATTCTACAAAAATAATTCATCCACTGTTTAAGACAACAAAACCCTTGCATTATCTCCCTAGCTTACTAAGATTTTAAAACCGAACTGTGCAAAGCTGGTTGGTGGGAAGTGAAAAAGGATGTGGAATTGGAGCCTTGCTGGCTTCTGGCAGAGTCTTCCGGACGCTATGGGTCTCTTATAGTTGCTCTCGAGCTCAGCACCACCACGGCTGATCTCTGACGAACTTATCAGGACACCAAGAACTACAGAAGAAATTTATTAACTTAATATTTTGAGTCAAAGGGCCATCCCTCTCTACAAATAGTGGAGAACTGCTCTAAATAATTCATAATTTTCTACAGGAAAATTATAATGCTAGATTTTTCCCCTCTATACTTTTATAAAATCTTCCTCCTGAAATGCCACTGCCTTTCTGGTTAAGGTTGTGAAGTTGGGCCGCGCACTTCTCAGCCCTTGGTCTCCACCACGTTCACCCCCTGTGGCTGACTTCTCGCCGTCTCTCCAAGCCCAGGACTTTCAGGAAGCCTTCCCTCTTGGCACCTTCTCCACATTCTGCATTTGCTCTCCAGATATTATTCATTTCTTCCGTGTTGTACTGACTTCTCTGGTATTTTTTTAACCACCCCCTGATTTGTGTATGTGTGTGCATATGCATGCATATGCGCACGTGTGTATATGTGCATATGTGTGTATATGCATGCGTATACGTGTGTGCACGTGTGTGCATGTCTGTGTATAGATGTATGTGTGTGCATATGCATGTTTGTGTATATGTGTGTGCATGTATATGGGTGTATGTATATGTGTCCATGCGTATATGTATGTCTCTGTGTGTATGTGTGTACGTACGTGTGTATGCGCGTATGTGTGCATGCGTGTGTACATGCGTGCATGTGTCCTTTTAGACTGTGGCTCCTCTACAAGCACGGCCTGCCCTACACCTTACTCACGTGTGCATCCCCAGAACTTAGCACATGCTTCACACGCACTGGGCGTTCAGTCAACACTTCCAACATAAATGAATGTGAGTATGGAAATACAATGATAATTAGGCCACTGAGTGAGATACAATCCTTTATCTGAGACAAACAGGAGAAACAGAAACTAAAAAAGTTCTTTCAGCTGATACAACCTCTAATGGTGCAGATCTGACAAAACTTGAAATTAAACGGGAGGTGGGCAGGCAGAGGATGTTGACTGACACACAGGGGAAGGCCAAGCCAGGGCAGAGGAGCGTCTCACAAACATTTAGAGAAATACAGAGAAAGAGACGTGGCACTCAAGGATTTCTACCCAGCCGCCACCTGCCTGGAGGGACCTCTCTCCGGCCGCCCCGCGAACCTGCACTCTGGTGTGTGGGGGAGGGCACCGTGCCCTATGGCGGACAGGGAGCCACAGCCGCCCCAAGAGGCATTCATGATGCACTCTACTCCAGAACCCGTGTCCAACTGGTCTCCTCACAAGTTCATCTCACACGTGCACTGAAGGTAACGGCCTACCGCCAACGGGTCTTCCATTTATCCACACACTCTGTTCTTCACCCTCCCCACACCCAGTGGCTGAACACCCCCGCCCATTCCACTCAAGAACCACTCTTAGGCCCCCGCGCTGGCTTTGGTCTTCCTCCTATTTTCATCTCCTAGCAACAGCGTCCCCTCTGAACCAACGAGAAAGCATCTACCTGGTCCTCCTGCCCCCTTGCGGCCTTCACAGCTCGTGAGAAACCTCTTCCTTAAATCAAATAAATGAAAAAATAAATAAATAAACATCACAAACACCTGCTTCCAATCCTTCCCATTCCCCTTCTCTTTTTTCTCTTTTCTTTCCCTCCCTTTTTATACTTTTGGAGGGAGGATTCTTGCTAAGGGATACTGCTTACAAATTCCCTGGACCCAGGAAGGACTCTATAAACCGGTTCCAAACCTTTTCTTTCCAGCTTCATACCCCGCCGTTCGAAGTCAGGTCTCCCTTCTCTGTGGAACACTACCGGCCCTGTTATGCATTCTGGCTTCTGTAACTCTCGACTGCGGTGCCTCTCGCTGAGCTCCAGTGTTCGGAGTCCCCCGCTGACCGTCGGTCCCCCCGAGGAGGTGAGGTCCTCGAGGTCAGGCGCCAGGGCTGCGCCATCCTTCGTGCCGAGCTCAGCGCACGCTACCTGCCGCGCCGCAAACACGCACTCCCGGTTTGGGGTACACCGGCAAGTACACGGACACAGCTCTCAAGTGGCCAAGCTGGGCAGGAAGGGCTGAAATCGCGTCTCCCACGGCACGGGCGCGGCGGGGCTGGAGGGGCTGGGCCGGGGGCCCCGCGGCCCGGAGCCGGGGCGCCTCCGTGGGAACGGGGTTCCGAGTTCCGCGCAGCGCCACACAAACGAGCCTGGAACGCACGCCGCCCCGCAGGGTTCCGAGCGGCCGCGCGGGCGGCGCTGAGGCTGCCGAGCGGCTGGGCCTTGCCGAGAAGTGAATGACCCTCGGCCCAGGCGGCGCATCCTGAGGCGCAACCGCACCACCGGCGAGAGGGGCTCCAGCCAGCCACAGGACACCCCGATGCCCCGGGCCCATGTCATGCAGGTCACCGTGTACTGCGTGCGGAGGGACCTGTCCGAGGCCACCTTCTCCCTCCAGGTCAGCCCTGACTTCGAGCTGTACAACTTCCGCCTCCTCTGTGAGCTCGAGTCCGGCATCCCCGCCGACGAGATCCAGGTCATCTTCCTGGAGCGGCTCCTGGCTGACGACCACCGCTCCCTGAGCTCCTACGGCCTCCGAGACGGCGACGTGGTGGTGCTGCTGCAGAAGGACGGCGCGGGGCCTCGGCCGCCCGGACGGACAGCCAGTCTGCGGCGGATGGACTGCCCCGGGGGAGCCGAGCCGGGGACGTCCAGCTGCCGCGCACCCCACGCGCCCCACGCGCCGCACGCGCCGCACCCGGCCCCGCGGGGCCAGCAGTCCCACGGCCTGGGCTGCGGAGAGAAGAGGCCGTCCGCGCAAGGCCTGGACAGCCCCGCCCTGATCCGGAGCATGCTGCTGTCCAACCCCCACGACCTGTCGCTGCTCAAGGAGCACAACCAGCCCCTGGCCGAAGCCCTGCTCAGCGGGAACCTCGAGACCTTTTCTCAGGTCCTCAGGGGGCAGCAGAGGGAGAGGGCCCTGCGAGAGCAGGAGCGGCTGCGTCTCTTCGCCGCCGACCCCTTTGATTTGGAAGCTCAGGCCAAAATAGAAGAAGAAATCCGGCAGCAGAACATTGAGGAAAACATGAGCATCGCGATGGAAGAGGCTCCGGAGAGTTTCGGGCAGGTGACCATGCTCTACATCAACTGCAAAGTGAACGGACACCCTCTGAAGGCTTTCGTGGACTCTGGTGCCCAGATGACCATTGTGAGCCAAGCTTGTGCCGAGAGATGTAACATAATTCGGCTGGTGGACCGCCGGTGGGCTGGCATCGCCAAGGGGGTGGGCACGCAGAGAATTATTGGCCGGGTCCATCTAGCCCAGATTCAGATCGAAGGCGATTTCCTCCAGTGCTCGTTCTCTATCCTGGAGGAGCAACCCATGGACATGCTTCTAGGACTAGACATGCTCAGGAGACACCAGTGTTCCATCGACCTGAAGAAAAACGTGCTGGTGATCGGCACCACGGGCACGCAGACTCACTTTCTTCCCGAGGGGGAGTTACCCCTCTGTGCCAAGCTGGTGTGCGGTGCTGGGCAAGAAGACTCTCCAGACAAGGAAGTAGCGGATGCTATTGAGCATTCGGTCAAGGATTTAGGACGGAAAAAGCGTTGAAATGGGTTATGAATATGCCACTATCTTGGGGAAGCCTCAGGTCCGGGGAGATTCTAAGACATGAGCTCACTGGCAATGTAATCATTAAAAACATCAGTAACAACCAAACCTGGCTTGGGGACTACCTTCTGGGATCCGTCACTTGCTTGATCTTGGCCCCTCCTCCATTTCCCTTATCCAAAGATCACCGAACCTCATCTCAGGAAGGGTCTGGAGGCTGCAAGTGATTTCCAGATAACCCATGAAAGGAAACCTTTAGAGGCACTGTCCCATCAGATTACAGGGTGGGGTGGCTTGTCCAAACCAGATGATATTTTGCAGATTCCCTAGAAAAAGCCATTACTGTAGACCCTACCAAACATCTACACAAAACGATTTCAGATCAGCACTAACAATAATTTATGTTAGGAGAAATATGCCTATTTTCCCAGATTTTGTTTTCTTTGGGAAAGTTCTTAGAAATGGTGAGTCGGTTACACTCCAGTTGATTAATAGTTACAAATGTCTGTTTTGGACAGTATAAAGGCCGATTTCCTCATATTTCATGTCTTCCCTTCCACTGGACTCCCCTAGAGTCATGCTCGCTGCGATCTGCCCCTGCAGGCCATTTTTGCCACATTTGAGAAAATGGATTTTTCTCCAGGAAGTCTGAAATAATTCCTCTTTCCCCTGTATTCAAAGAAACCCTGGTCATAAAACAAAGGCCAGCAAGTAGACATTTTTTTTTTTTTTTTTTTAATTATGGTGCATCTTGGAAGCCTAGGGGTTGTCACGGTGGGGCCAGTGCGGGGTAGGAGCAGGCTGTGCTCCAGATCCCTAATACTCATTTCAACTACATCATCTTTTTTTGTTGTTTTTTTTAAACAACAACAAACCTCTGCTTTATATATTAGGCTGCTACAGAATATTGTGGGAACAGAGGTTTCCCTGTTAGAGTAACATTTGAAAACCTCTGAAGGAGAAGATGTCTGAGCCCTCATTCAGCAGTACGATCCATTCGAACAACCCACCCTGCGTTACGCCTGGAAGATGCCGGACCCGTTACAATCTGTGGCTAAAACCCCTGACACAATGGGTCCAGGTGCCGAGGCCGTCAGACTCAGAGAGTGTTTCGGGGCAGTAACCCATCAAGACGGATATACGAGAAAGAAGGGTGCAAAGTCAAGAAACACGTGTTCTGATTCCAGCTCTGCATTGCTTGGGCAAATCAGGTCACATTTCACACAACTCTGATTTCTCGCCTGTAAATTACGTGGGAGGGGAGAGCCGCTTTCGGGTACCAAGACCATGTTACAATCAAGGGCATCCTTTTAGTTACTCTCTTTTCCCAACAAAATCTAAAGCCACTCAAAGCATTTCCTAAAGGCTACAGAAAAAAAAAAGTCCTTCCCTACCATCACCTTTCCCTACCAGGCCTTTGTTGGTCTGCTTTTTTTTAAAATTTTATTTATTTGAGAGAGAGAGAGCACGAGAGGGGAGAGGGTCCGAGGGAGAAGCAGACTCCCTGCCAAGCAGGGAGCCCGATGCGGGACTTGATCCCGGGACTCCAGGATCATGACCTGAGCCGAAGGCAGTCGCCCAACCCACTGAGCCACCCAGGCGCCCTCCTGGTCTGCTTCGTGGTGAGACTAACCATCTTATTTCTCTAGCGTCACTTCTCACCCTCCAGCCACCACTACTTTACCTCTCATGTTCTTCCTCGTAGGTGCTCCCATGCTCACAAGCCCCAACCTTGTCTACATTCACAGCAAGGCTTATTACACTCACTAAACTGCTAAAAATGAGCAATGGACAGCCTCTTTTCTACTTCTGCTTCTAAGTACTCAGCAAATGGTAACTAACAAAATGAAGGAAGAAATCCAGAGTAAAGCCAGGGATAAGCAATTTAATGTCTGTCACTAGATGAAAACGGACCTGATAAATACAAGGATTCCTTCACAGATAAAAACATGCATGTTCCTCAGCAGTTTCTACCAGACTCTGTTTCCAGGCCCATTTATGGAAAACGCACGTCTGATGTGCATAGTCCCATATGGGACTACTTGACATAAAAGTTTGATATAGAGCCGATCAGGATAGCGAACCCGTAAAAGCCAATCTAAAAAATCATCAGGTCTTTAAACTGAAAGATGATTTGCACCATCACAAATCCAAACATACACACCCTCCCTTCTCAGAAGAACATCCCTCCTAAAATAGCTACAGTGGTTCAGGACCAGTCTCAAGAATAACTCCTTGTTTCTGGTTTTGAGCTAAACTCTATTATTCCATAACTTCCAATAACCTTGTCTTCACTCTTCCTTCTTCCAAGAACATATTTAATTAATGTAATTTCTCTGGCATGAAATAATCCTTTTAATATATGAAATCAATGTCATTTGAGTATTCTCTTTTGTAAGCTCTCACCGGATTATTTAATTATTTCTCATAGCATAAGTTTGGAGTCACCTAAAAATTTCTGTCATGTTCCTTTGGACATATTCCAGCTTCTAAAAATATTACTTGAGTAAATGGGTTGATAAATTAAAAATACTTTTATTGAACTGAAAAGTGACAATCTCAAGGAAAAATCAATAAACAGAGTGAATTAATTAAGCAATGTCCTTCCTAATTTTTGACATCATTGTCTTTCAAATCAGAAAATGTTTTAAAAATTACTTTCATGGATTTAAATCTTGACTCAATCCTCTGTACACTTGAATAGATCCTAATCAATTAAATTTTAAATGGATTAGTTTTAGGAAAAGGTAACATCTTTTGCACGCCTATCATGTAAATTAGGTGCTATGCAAAGTACCTTGCATGTATTACTGCCATTAATCCTCAGAATAAACCCTCAAAATGGTCACCATTAATCTCATTTAACAGATGAGAAATTCAAGGCTCAGAATGATGAAACATTCAAATACCCAAAGCTTCGTGTTTTTAAAACTTTTTCTTGACGACAATCTACGTTTTAGATTGTGACCCAATTTCACATCACACTCACACACACACACACGTAAACCAGTCTGTATCTCTGAAACAAAAAGATCCTTGAAATAACATGAAATGTTTTATCCGTTCCCAGTCTATTACTTTGAAAAATTTTATTTTTATTACTTAAGAAAATACATTAGACGTGTCCAACTCATTGTATCCCACCAATGTATCCTGACCCACAATTTGGAAAAACCTGACTCATCAGATCAGATCGCTGAGTTCAGGTCTTTCTGATTTCAAATGCCAAGCTCTCTCCACTATTCAACCTTCTTTATGTGTCACAGTAGAGTCCTAACTACCAGTAAAAAATGTTACAAAATGTCGCTAATTGGATTCTTGCTACAGTACGCAACTAAACCATGTACAGAAGTTTCCATAAAATGGGTGAGACTTCATTGTTCAGGGCCCTTGCCTCCTGAAATGAATGCCAATAAACAGCCCCACTGCTCTGTAAGTAAAACAAAAACAAGAACCTATGGAAATTACCTAAACACTGCAAGTAAAAATGACCCCAGAGAAGCAGCCAGCAGAGCACACACAACCATTATTTATCGAACACCTATGAATTGAGCACTGAGCCAAGTTGTTACAAGCGGGGAAGTGAGTAAGTTCTAGTTCCAGACCCGAAGGTGAGCACAGCCTGGTAGGGCAGGGGGAAGACTTGTAACCAACTCAGGATGAAAAGGGTGCACATGGAATTAGTAATATGTTGGTGCAAACGAAGGAAGGGATTTTAATTTGGGGTTATTATTAAAGTAAAAAGCCAGTAAAATGCACTTTCAATATGTCTACAATGACCATCACTGATGCTGGACAACAAAACATTCTCTCCTCCTAAAGTTCAGGTTTCTAATATAGAACTTGTAATATTTACTGTTGGGGATTATCTACTATTGGGAATTTACTACCTGGAAAATGATGAACAAATCTTCATTTTCTCTCTACCCATTAGTAATCAGGATACAGCATAGCACATGATGAAACTGCCCTAATGCTGTTAAAGATAATAAGGCCTTAAAAAAAATCCATTAATCCCTTGATTTCTCCTCATGTCCATTTAAATGCCCATCTTACATGAAAGGAAATCACTACTGTTGATAAGCATGCATTTCAAGACTGTGGTAATGCATTCTGCCACAGTTAAACTGGAAGACCCATGTTTGAGATTTGTAGAACACACAGTCTCAACTTCTTTCTTACGATACCAGGTCATAAAGTTTCTCCTGTTCCTAGGGGAAAACCCACTCCCCCCAAAGAAAAAAGAAATGGAGATCTCCATATATGAATTCACTTTCATTGTAGGGACTAAATGCAGCTTTTTTTTTTTAGTTTATTTGAGAGAGAAAAAGCAAGAGAGAGAGTACTAGTGGGACAGAGGCAGAAGGAGAAGCAGACTCCCCACTCAGTGGGGAGCCAGATGCAGGGCTTGATCCCAGGACCCTGCGATCATGACCTCAGCTGAGGGCAGACACAACCAACGGAGCCACCCGGGCGCTCTTAAACGGTGCCTTTTTAAGAGAACACTGCATCTATTTCAGAGGGCCATTGCTGACATCCAACATTCCATAAAGAAAACTGTGAGTGGAGGGTGGGAGAGTGATCTGGGACTCACCAGGGGGAGACCGCTGGGGAAGATGCTATTCAGTGCTAACATTCATAGCGGTTCTTTGAGGTTAACAAGAGCCTCGAAAACCAAAGAGGAACAAAGGTAAAGTAAGGGTAGAGAAGAAAGAGGGGATTAAAAAAATCCGAAAAATCTGTGCTTTTAAAACTAATTCTCTCTTGGTTTAACTGCTGTTTCATAAGGTGGGTGGGGACTGGGCTGAGATTAAGGATTAGCTCTTAGGGCCACAATACCTCATCCATCCTTGGCAAGTTATCTAAAATGAAAATGTTTTCACATCCAGGCCTGAGTCCAACATGCTTTTGAACCCTGGCTTGTTCGCATGTCTGGGTCCCCCTGTTAGAATCTCAGAATTTTAAGAGTCTGTGATCAGAAAAATTGGGTCTGCCATCCTGCTGTGTGTTCATGGATCCATTTAACAGGCTGTGGAGATGAGCCCACCTGTGGTGGCTTTGTCTCTTATTACCACACTGAATGTTTTCTGATGGTTTCTTTCTTT